CGTCAAAATACCCTAAAACACGCTAAAACGCCACACCCTAAACCTTAAACCCTCAAGCCCAAAAACCTCGTAACCCTAAGAAGTACTAAGAAGCCATTGACGAAACCACATGCTGTAAGAACCCTGACATACCCTAAATAACAAACCATAACAAAACAGTCAAGCAAAGTAGAGTAAAACCCCAAACACACCAAAAACAACTCCAAAGCAGAAACAGAAAACATTAGCAAACCCTGAAGCCCTAAAGCCCCCGAACCCCAAAAGACTAAACCCTTGTTAAACCCTAAGACGTAAACCCTAAAAACCCCAAAAACCCTTAAAACCCTAAAAACCCTAAAACACTAAAAGCCCTAAAAACCCCAAAAACCCCAAAAACCCCAAAAACCCTAAAAACCCTAAAAACCCTAAAAACCCCCAAAACCCTAAAAACCCTTAAAACCTTAAAAACCCTAAAAACCCTAAAAACACCAAACACCCCAAAAACCACCAAAAAAAACCCAAAAACCCCAAGAACCCCAAAAACCCCAAAAACCCCAAACACCCTAAAAACCCCAAAAACCCCAAAAACCCTAAAAACCCTAAAAACCCTAAAAAGCCCTAAAAACCCTAAAAACCCTAAAAAGCCATGAAGCTGGAGGTTGGCATGCCGACCTCCGTGTGCCTCAGCAACCCAGAGCCGACAGGCCCCCATGGGATCTCCCTACCCGGGTTTAGGGTTTGGGGTTTAGGGTTTGGGGTTTGGGGTTTAGGGTTTAGGGTTTGGGGTTTAGGGTTTAGGGTTTAGGGGTCGGAATAATTTCCTACCAGTATTCCCTTGTGGTTCCCTTCAGAATTATACCACAATAACCTCCCAAGCTCTATTCTAATTATTCAGGCCCCCATGGGATCCCCCTACCCGGTCAGCTGAAGAGGGTTTTAGGGTTTAGGGGTTTGGGGGTTTTAGGGGTTTAGGGTTTAGGGGTGAAGGTTTTGGGTCTAGGGGTTTGAGGGTTCTGGTTTTGGAGTTTGAGCGGTTTAGGGTGTTAGGGTTGTGGGGTTTAGGGGTTTAAGGGGTTTTCGGGGTTTAGGGTTTTTGGATTTAGGGTTTCGGGGTTTAGGGTGTAGCCCCTTAGTTTTGCTTAAGTGTTACGGCTGATGGGGCTTCGGGGCCTAGTTGGAGGTTCATGGGCGGTGGGTACAGCTGGGACAACTCTGGCTGTCAATGGTATAACATGAAGCACTACTTTTAGGTACCCGACCCCGCAGCCCCACCTCCACCTCCCGCCCTTCCCCAGCGTTACGTTCAATTTGACAATTAGGACCTGGGAGAGGGGGGAGGCCTTATTATACTACACTATCATAATTCTTTCTTTCATTTCTTACATATCATTGTAAGAGATTATCATTTTATATAGTTGTATTTGCTTCTTACAAGATAGTAGTGTCATCCGCAAGGTTTCGGTTGTTGTTGGGCTTCCAGGTCTCTCTCGGGATTTGTCGCTGTAGGGATTTTAAGGTTCTGATGTCTTTGTGGCGTTGGTTTTCTCTCGGCGACAGGACTATGGGGTTTAGGGGTTGGTTGGGAGGGGCCTTGGGGTTAGGATGCTCAGGGCCCCTTATACTAATAGGGATTACAATCGGGGGTACTGTTAAGGACTGTTAGTATAAGGGGCAACATCCCAGTTGAGGGCTTCAGGCTTCTCAAGAGATTCAAAGTTCAGATTTCAGTGTTGGATGTTTAGGAGAGGGCGCCAGGTGTTCAGGATGCTCAGGTTTCTTAGGTATCAGAACGCTGGGTTCCCGATTGTGCCTGCCGGCAGAGTTCGGAAGTACAGTCCCTTTTGTATGCGCCACGTACGTAGAATTACCCCGGAAGGGAGGGAGCCTAGCTTGCCTTCACCTGATGCTCGAGCTGGTGGCCTTGAGCTGCTTCTGAAAAGGCCAATCGCCTTAGCATCATCGCTCTGGCTGGAAGTGCTGACATGCCCCGATGCAGCCGAGGTGTGTCCATGCGTCGTGCCTTGGTACACGATCCCAGCCTAGAGGCCCCCATTTTGCAGCCGAAGGGTTCTTAAGATCCAGGAATTGCAAGGAAGGCCCCAAACCCCACAAAACCCTCTAAACCCCCCAAAGGCCCCAATGCCGGCTGAATCCCCTAAGAGTCCGCCTGTTGGTCAGGAAGCAAGTTCAAGTTCGGGCTGCCCAAAAAGAGTCCGGGTCCCTGGTGCTGTGTTCTGGTTGGGGGGGGGGGGCCTAAACCCTAAACCCTAAACCCTAAACCCTAAACCCTAAACCCTAAACCCTAGGGGAGGATGGGATGGGATGCTCTAGTGGGAGGAGGGGGGGTGGGGGAGGGGATGGGATGTTCTAGTGGGGGGGGGGGGGGGGATGAGAGGAGGTTGAGACCAGGATTTCGGGCTCAGGGCGTTTAGGATTTTAGGATTTTAGCAGTCTATGCTTGGTTCTCGTGTAACTTAGGGTCTGTTTTGCAGGGGACTTGGGAAAGGTCTGAGTGGCATCGGAGCTTAGACGTTCCCACCACATACTCTCGATATCACGGCATCACCAGTTACCCTAGATACCCATTCTTAAGGAACCCTACTTTTCTTGAACACAAGCTCTGAACCTTCATTGAACGGGCACCTCAACCCTGAACCCCTAAAGCCCCGACAAGAAAGCCCCTAAACCCCCATTGGGGTTGTAGGGCTTACGGTGAACCTTGGTTTAGGGTTTAGGGTAAGTAGGAGCCCCAACTACCCTTAGTAGGGGTGAACATCCCAACGTGCACCCTAACCCGTAAACCCTAAACCCTAAACCCTAAACGACCACTGAGGCGGCCACGACAAGCTCGGGGCGGGCATGGATGCCATCCGCGAGGGCTCGGAGCTAAGCCGTTGGCTTCCTTTGGGTTTAGGGTTAGGGTTAGGATTTTAGGTTCAGGATTTATAGGGTTTAGGGTTTAGGGTTAGGGTACGACCCCCACCCCCGACTGCCCTTAGTAGATGTAGGGCCCTCAATGGCAGGTGCTTTGGGAGTAACGGAGGGTAGTTGAGGGGGTTCTGGTCGACAGGATGCGGGGTGCAGGGTTTAAGGTAACGATCGTGAACCTCAAAGGTTTTTCCCTAGAACTCTTAGCCAGCAAGTTTCGTTGGCTTTAGAAGGTCGGTTTAGGGTTTAGGGTTTGGGGTTTAGGGTTTAGGGTTTAGGGCTAGCGTGGCCAGAGGCCTGTTAACTTCGAGGAGTGAGTAGAAGGGGGGAGGGGGGTGGTGAACCGCTCCCAACACAAACATCTCAAGTCAAAGGGTTCGGGGAAGACAGGTACTGCTACAAGCACAGCAGATAGGGTGATATCTATTTTTTGCTTGCCACCCTGCTGGCATCCCCAGTGATGGCAGTTCCCCACCAAGTAACAAACAGCCGAGGCGAAGAGCTGAGGGAGAAATCCTCTCCAGCTCTTGGGGTTTTAGGACCTGTCGACTTTCGACCTTACACGCGTACAGTAGGGTTTAGAGCTTCCTGTTGTTGAAGGCGTTTAGGGGGCTTAAGGCTCTGAGGCCTGAGGGCCTTCAGCGCGTTTCGCGTGGTTCCAGGGCTTCAGGGCATCAAGAGCATCAAGGGCTTTGAGGGCTTGGAGGGCTTCAGGGTAGCTGCAGCGCAAGGTTCGAGGCTAAAACTACAACCCTAAACTCCTAGCCTGACAACCCTGAACCCCTAAACCCTATACCCTAGCGGGCTTGAGGGTCTCAGCCTCAAGGCTTCAGCCTGTTGTGTTTCCTCCCATGTTCTGAGGCGAGCTGGCCTGAGGATCGCGCGGTCTCCGCGTCCGAGGATCCCAAGCCATCAGAGAGTTTTGGGGTTAGGGTTTAGGTTTAGGTTAGGGTTTAGGGTTTAGGGTTTAGGGTTTAGCCCTGAAGCCCTGCTGCGCATTGCGAAGCACTGCGCCCCCACATCCGTGTCAAGAGAGACAGCTCAGGGGCGCCAGGGCCATCCTCCCAAGGCTGCCAATCATGTGCACCTGTTTCAGGGCTTAGGGTCATAGTGTTTACGTAGTGAAAGTGTTGTGTAGTTGGGAACTATAGGGCGGAGGGTCAGGCATTTAGGGTTCAGTGAGTTTAGTGCTTAGTGCACAAAACCGCCTTCCTACGAACAGCTCCTTAATAGGGATTAGAATAGGGGGTACAAGAATCCCCATTAAGGACTGTTAGTAGAAGGGGGGAACATCCCAAATCCCAGAGCCCCTGCACCCTAATCTTTGAACCTCGGCGCTCCCTGCTGAAGCTGCTCCCGGACTTGGCGGCCAAGCTGCAAAGTTCCGAGTCGCAAAGATCGCTATGTGCCCAAGAAAAAGTTCTGATGCTCGCAAGACTGCTACACGAAAACTGCTACACGAAACGGCAGTACCCAAGAACCCCCCCCCCCCCCCCCCCCCCCAAAGCAATGAGGGGACCCGTGTCCAGAGGGCCCCAATCGTCTACAAACAAAGCCCCCTACCCTCCCCCTTCCACCCCTCAAAAAGGAAGGCCGCTGAAGAGGCTCCCTCAAACCTGGAAAGGCTCCTCAAATAGGTTCATGCAGTGCATCTACAGCTGTAGCCAGAAAATACTTCTGCGCAGGAGTCTATCGACAAGCCATCTTCATTGTCTCTGGTGTCGTTTCAGGAAGCCAGCTCTCTGCTACAGCTCTTCAGGACCCTTCCTGCTGTATTCCCAGGCTTCCCCTGAACCTTAAACCTTCAACCCATGCCCCTAAACCTTCAAACCGTGCCCCTAAGCTTGTCCGCAATTCCTGTAGGCTTGAGCTCCGGACGCGGCTCTTGCAGCCACGGAAAAGAAGAATGTCTGGCCTGCCCCCACAACGGGCTGGTAGCCATCTATCTGTCCTTCGGTCTACATCTTACACATGTACATGTACCCCTAATCCCTAAACCCCAAACCCTAAAGCCTAAACCCTAAACCCCAAACCCAAAAGCCTAAGCCCTACAAAAGAGATTGGGGCCAAGATCTGGTCCCAAGTGTTCCGCCATGCCCGAAATTAGCCTGGAGGTGAGCCTGGGCGTACCGGGCGAATTTCCAGAGGCTGCCCAAGATCCCCAAAATCTCTCCGAGGTCTGTGAAACAGTTTCGGACCACACAGCTTCTACAGAAGAATCTGCGGACCGACTCATCGAGGGCTGCGTCATGCTGATGTCGGAGATGCAGCCCACACACCCAGATATTCTCCGCGGGATCAGAGTGTCGCGAGTGCTGCACAGCTCCGTCTGTGCGTGGATGCGTGGAAATCTCGAACAGATCCAGGAACTCAGCCAGGTGACTACCCAGCTGGACGAGTTTTGGTCCCACAGTTGGCAAGCGAGGCTTTGGCTGAAGTATCTATATCCCCCCTTGGGAACTACTTTTTGTTTTTGTTCATGTACAACCCAAGAGGATATTAAAAGATACTATTTTTATTAAGGTTCTAAGGGGAGTATAGGTATGTCAGCATCCTCTACCGAAGCAACGGCACGCCGGCGTTCATACTGGGCTCACTCAGCTCCCTGGTGGCCTTTTCCTTGAAGGTAGCTGGCGCCTTAGGGATACCTGGAATTATTTTTTAGGGTTCGGGGTTTCGGGTTTAGGGTATATAGGGTTTAGGGTTTAGAGTTTAGGGTTACTATAATTCCGAAGAAACAGCTAACATTCTAATTTTCGCCAGGGTTCCACGTTCAGTGAAGGCGCAATTGGCTGGGTCGGTGCATGCACGCTGGCTGGGGCTGCGGGCTACTACTTGACTCTAGTGATGTGGCGGCCGAGGACGCAGGTCTTCCTGGATGTTGCATGTGTGGAGCAGGTTGACCCGAATCTAAAAACACAGGGTCTGATGAGCATGGGCGCATTTTTGAAAGCGTCCAAGTCCCTGGTGATTTTTTGGGACACGAGCTTTGTTTCGAGATTGTGGTGTCTATTCGAGATGGCAGGCTTCATGCACGCCCAAAAACTTGGTGCAAGCAGATACCTGGAGGTGTGCCCGGTTTTCGTAGGCCCAGCGCTCCTGTGCGGCAACGCGGGTCTTTGCATGATGTTCTTCATTGTCATCATCGCTGAAATGGACTTTGCGTCCCTAAATACGGATATTGGATTGGTCCTCGGCGTCGTAGGCCTAATGCTTCTGTGTTTGACATCTCTGGCGTATGTAGTTCTGTCGCACTGCCGCAGCATCGACGTCATGCAGTCGCCAGTCCGCAATCTCAGCAAGTTTGTTGTGTCGCGTTTTTCTGGGAACAGCGTTTCGCGAGCCTGCTACTTCACTGTGCAAGTCCGTCACGTCCCTCAGGTCTCAAGTTCGCCACTTCACCATCGAGCATTCCTCTAGCCAGTGTTGTGCAGATGAACATCTTACCAGCACGGGTGAACGCATTATCTGCGACCGTGAGATCATTCTGCGGTGCATCTCCACCTGGTTTGGGTCCCCAGAGCAGTTTGAGGAGATGGTGCGCACGAAGCTTCTGAAGCAACTTGTCCACCAGCTTGCCAACCGCACCTTTTCGTACTGGCGAATTGTGCAGGCAGCGTCCCCTGTAATGTGGATCTACCTAGACTGGATCTTTCCGCCTGACTACCTGCTTGTTGGCTTGCTCCGGATGTGCATGTATTGGCTGACGCTCGTTCCCACACTGGTGCTGGTGTCCCTCCGGCTGGCCTACAGCGTCCGCAACCTCTGCCACAGCGTATTCGCACGGATACTGATCAGCATGCTCCTTGTGGCAAATGTCGCTTTCATGGTTGCGGCATTCTTTGCCTTGGAGGTGTATGTTGCTACAGCCATTAGTCCTGCAGATTCGGAGAGGCTGACGCCAGTTGCAACCTCCATCGTTTTTGTTGCAATGGGTGTCGTTACAACATTGTTGTGGTGCTGTTTGCCTCCTATTCAGGCGCCCACGTCGCCCCTGGAAGCAGATTAGGAAGATCTTGTTGTGCACCTCGACAGAAGCCAGCACACAAAAGGCACGTACGTATGTAGGTATGTATGTATGTATTTATGTATGTATATGTATGTATATATGTATATATGTATATATATACATACTTATTTTGTTCTACATTACTTTATATAAATAAGTTGTATAAAAATGTGTATATGGTATTTCTGTATTAGCTCCCGCCCGCCCCCCCCCCCCCCCCCCCAGCCACCCCCCACCCCCTCCCCCCAGCCACCCCCCACCCCCTCCCGCCCCCGACAAACCACAACCGTTCAACCGTGACAACTAAGATCTGTCCTCCTGACTGCGACTTTCCGCTTTCCATTGTTTTTGGATGTAGACCTCTTCCATTTCCTGCCCCTTGGGCTTTCCACTTTCTATTTTTTTTTTGGTGGGGCGGGGGTGGGGGGGGTGCATGACAGTGATACGGAAAGTGCAGCCTTTGGCGCAAAAGCATAGGTCGGAAACGGAAGTGGAAGCAGCAGAATCCTAAACAAAAGTGGCAAGTGGACCTCGCCTGAAAATCAAAGTGGATACGTGCAAGGAAAATTACAGACTCTGATGGACCTTACACCTAAAAAAATGAGTTGAAGTGGATACCAGAAGCCGTTCTCAAATCGACGACCTATGCTTTCGCAGCAAAGGAGGTCCTACGCTTTCCTTCTCACTGTCATGCGCACCCCTCCCCCCGACCAAATTAGTAAGGGTTAGTCATATCATAGGTTAGTTTGGGCCCATTTATTTCGCATAACAAACAGCTCGTAGCATGACAGGAAATAAATATTGGAGGTCACTTATAATTGGTGAAGAAGTTCAACTGTTCTAAAGGCCAAGAAAATTGGAACACAATGAGGGACAGCTTTGCGTTTGTACTCAAATTTAGCATTGCATGGCTCGTTTCCACTAACTAGCATAAGAAGATGTATTACTATAACTGGCCTCCAGTTGTTATGTAATAACATGATGGAGAATTCTTTTCCGTAAGCTCGGCACTACCATTAAAAGGATGCCAGTGTATTTCGATTGGAGGCCATTTGTTGCGAACAAAATATAAAATTGCAAGAACCATCCCCTAAGCGCAAACATCTGCTGCTTTGTATCCGTGTACGCATTAAACCCTAAACCCTAAGCCCTAATCCAAAATGTTCAACGTCACCCCCTCGCCTTTCATGGTTTGTCATGGAAGGTGGTGGCTGAGCAGACCATGTACATACATATATATACACACATAATACAAACACACATAATACAAACATACATACACATGGATATGTATGTATGCACATATTTGTACGTATGTATGTATGTATGTATGTATGTATGTATGTATGTATGTATGTATGTATGTCTGCATGTATGTATGTATGTATGTATGTATGTTTGTATGTATGTATGTATGTATGTATGTATATTTTTATATGTATGTATGCATGTATGTTTTATATATAGTATGTATACATAGATACAGATATAGTTATACCGCATGATGAGATGCGATGCGTGCGTGTGTGTGCCAAAGCCCACATCAATTCCATTCCGGCATGCTGGACTTGGGGTTCTTCCCAGCTTTGTCAGTTTCAACCTCAGCTCTTGAACCCTAAATCATAAGGGTTCAGGGCTTGGGGTTGAGGTTTAGGGTTTAGGGTTTAGGGTTTAGGGTTTAGGGTTCAGCATCTCTGGTCCAAGCATTCACTAGTTGAGCAGCTTTCAAGGCCACAGGGGAATACCCACCCGCCCATTGGGTCCCACACCATTAGGAAAAATATCCAACCTCCTTCTTCTCTAGGCACGTGGTCAACAGAATGGATTTGTTAACCACATGTGTCTGTTTCAAGCGGACAAGAAAACCAAACGTGGTCAACAGAATGGATTTGTCAACCACATGTTTCTGTTTCGAGCGGACAAGAAAACCAACGTGGTCAACAGAATGGATTTGTTAACCACATGTTTCCATTCGGGAACTTATTCTTTGGAAGCCATCTTGAGTTCTTGAGTCGTTTGAGGGGCTTCAGGGGCCTCAAAAACAGGCGCGGTCATTCGGGAACTTATTCTTTGGAAGCCATCTTGAATCGACTTTTTTGCGGGGCTCCAGGGGGGGGGGGGGGGGGGGGGGGGGGGGGGGGGGGGGGGGGGGGGGGGGCGGGGGTGGGGAGGTGGTTTGGGGTGTGGGGGGGGGGGGGTGGGGGGGGGGGGGTGGGGGGGGGGGGGGGGGGGGGGGGGGGGGGGGGGGGGGGGGGGGGGGGGGGGGGGGGGGTGGGGGGGGGGGACCTTGCTAAATATATGACCTTGCCCGCTAAATATATGACCTTGCCCGCTAAATATATGACCTTGCCCGCTAAATATATGACCTTGCCCGCTAAATATAGGACCTTGCCCGCTAAATATAGGACCTTGCCCGCTAAATATAGGACCTTGCCCGCTAAATATATGACCTTGCCCGCTAAATATATGACCTTGCCCGCTAAATATATGACCTGGCCCGGGCCATATATTTAGCGGGCAAGGTCATATATTTAGCGGGCAAGGTCCTATATTTAGCGGGCAAGGTCCTATATTTAGCGGGCAAGGTCCTATATTTAGTGGGCAAGGTCGCCCTTTAGCGGGCAAGGTCATATATTTAGTGGGCAAGGTCTTTTTTTAGCCAATGGACCTTGCCCACTAAATATATGACCTTGCCCGCTAAATATATGACCTTGCCCGCTAAATATATGACCTTGCCCGCTAAATATAGGACCTTGCCCGCTAAATATAGGACCTTGCCCGCAAAGTCATTAACATTTATATTATATATGAAAGAGTGGTTTAGGGTTTAGGGTTTAGGGTCTTTAGCGCCTGGTGGGTCTAGTCTCTGGCAGGGCTTAGGGAGAACCTCTCCGCCTTTTCAAGAGGGGCAGCTCCAGGCCTGCGGTTTAGGGTTTAGGGTTTAGGGTTTAGGGTTTAGGGTTTAGGGTTTAGGGTTTAGGGTTTAGGGTTTAGGCGCCCTCCCAAAGCTGCCGAAGATGCCCAAGCCAGGTGTGCGCCTGATAGGGCTTGCAGGGTTTGTAGGTCTTAGGGACTTAGGGCTCCCAGGAGTAAGTTAGGGTCATCAGGTTACGTAGCGCTGATAGGATTTACAGGGTTTAGGGCTGCCGACACAGAGGACACTCGGCCAGGCCTTGGCATCGCAAACCAAAACTTTATGAGCCCCGAAACGCTAAAACAGGCCAAAAACTCTTAAACCCTGAATCCCTGAAACCCGAACCCCCTAAACCCTAAACCTTAAACCCTAAACCCTAACACCCCAAAGCCAAACCCTGAGGGGCTCTTAGTGCGACAGACCTGGCGCCAGAAGCTGGTGAGGAGCTGGTGCCGAGCTCTTAACGTGCTTTAGGGCTGAGGGTTGTTTAGGGGGATATAAAATGGCGATAAGTCCCACATGTTCCACTAAGAGCTAATTATTAAGCTCCTGCAGCTACGTTCTCTTGGTAAAGCAGCTTCAGAGTGGAGTCGTCCTGCCAGTGGCTGCGCCGCATGAACAACAGGTTGCCGACATCCTCAGCCCTCAGCTCAAATCCCAGAGCTTGGGATGTTCCCCTTTGTACTAACAGTCCTTATATGGACTAGAAAAGGGGGGTACTTTCATCCCAATTAAGGGCTGCTAGTATAAGGGGGAACACCCCAGACCCTAAACCCTAAACCCTAAACCCAGAGCCCCCAATACCTTAATCTTTGAACCGCGACTCTCCCTGCTGAAGCTGCTCACTTGGCGGCCAAGCTGCGAAGTTCCGATGCTCGAAAAGATCGCCACAAACTCGCCGTGCCCAAGAAGGACACCCGCCCCGCCCCCCCCCCCCCCCCCCCAACCAAAATTGCCCTAAACCCTAAACCCTAAACCCTAAACCCTAAAACAAAGAGGTCATGTCGTAGGGTTTCGGGTTTTGAAGCGCTCCGGTGAAATGGCATGGCGGCTTGCCAGCAGTTCCCCAAAACACGTGGGGACCCCGGCACTAATCCAGGGTGTCCCTTTTCAGGAGTCTGCGTCCTCGGGGAAGCAGACTAAACTCGTTATAAGACCCCACAAGCACATATGTTGAGTATGATACAATTTAAGTGATGCGCTTCCGTGCCGAAGCTCACCCAGATCAAGCCCATTCCGGCATGCTGGTTTTAAGGATTTGTTTCCGCTGTCTGTCAGCATTTCACCCGAAACCCTTTGCCTAATAAAGGCAAGGCTTACAATCCGCGATTAGCAAGGCTGCATCAGAAACGGCTTGTGTTTCAGCGCTTTAAGGTGGAGGCTTCGGTGCTTTGAGGGCCTGGCTCTCACAAAGGTTGCAGTCCTGGTTCGTTACTACCGGACTCATGCCTACCGACTCAGGATTTATTGGGCCAAATGGGCATTAGGCCCTGGCATTCGGAGCTTTGGGTTTAGGGTTTAGGGTTTAGGGTTTAGGATCCTGAGATATCCTTTGTAGTACTCAACACCAAATCACTGCTTGTGGCGTCCACGCACACCTGAAATCCCAAACTGAAACCTGGCACAACTTACAGCCCTATCTAAACCCGTCTAGGGTTTTAGGGCTCTAAGGCCTTCGCGTTTCTAGGACCCGTTTTTGGGCTTTGAGGGTCGAGGGTATGACATGAGGGTCTAGGGCTTCGTGAAAGTTGGTTCTCAAACTCTGGTGCGAATCCTACCCGCCACGGCAAAGATCTGCACCGGCTGGGCCCTAAAGTGTTTGCCCTAAACCCTCAACCCTAAATCCTAAACCCTAAACCCTAAACAGGCCCTAAACCCTAAACCCTAAACCCTAAACCCTAAACCCTAAACCCTAAACCCTAAACCCTGTGTTGCAGCTGCAGTCACACATGTGTGAATGTTCCTGTAGCATGGGGTTGTTTTTTTCCATCAATCTGCTTTTCAGCCTGACTTGTGGATCATGGTTGGTTGTAACCTGTTTTATTAATTTCCCCTTATACGGTTTAAGAGGAACATATTCGGGAAC